CAGAGCTTTCTGCATCATCCCTGGGGTAAGTATCACACCTACTCCCTGCAGTAATGTTCCAGCCTTAAAGATTTGGGCTGAGCTGGAGCAGTTAAGACTCACAGACCTTTTCAGTGTTCGTGAGTCAGTCAAGGTGGCAACTTAATACCTTTTCTAAAAAGCCAGCTGGCCAGGTAAAATGCCTATATACTGACAAACCAGAGTACTGTGGCCTCCTAAAAATCAAATTACACTCTTAACAGTGATCAGGAGCATATGATTAATTGTAAACTTGAGGTTTACAAAACAGTCAATGGTAGATATTGGTAGTCAACCTGTTCCCATTTCTTGATCTTTCAGCAGAAGAACTTCCCATTGCAGTGCATTATAATATGGGAAATAAATGTAATCCCTCTATCAAGACAGCTGCATAAACATGTCAGAACCACTCTGAACAGGAAAAATTGCTAAGCAGGTCACATTATAAAAACTAAATATGGGACCAAAACACTGAACACTTTGCAGAGTTTTCACTTCATTTTATGAAAGAGATTAACTGGATTCAAGGTGGGCTTGCAGACAGGCTATTGTAAATTGGACCAGAAATCATCAGCCACCTACAGTCTGAATTTGACCCCATTATATTAAACAAAGAGCCCTGAGAAATAATTGAGCTGGGAGCTGCACAACAGCCTAAACCCCTGCTGGCCGACAGTGTCCAGCAGAGAATAAATGAACCCACCACTAATGGTAGTCAACAGCTTCTTCAGAAGACTGAACTTATCAGCCTCTAAAGAAAAAACATTATTCTGCATAGTCCTTAAACAACCAACACGATGTAGAAAGCTGGCCAAATTCTCAGCTCCTGTAGATTGCTAAAGCTCTTCTGAAATCAAAAGACCATTGAGAATTTAGATTTTGACCTTGTCGATTTTCCTTACCAAAACTAGTATGTGAAAAGAGTAACAAACAAGTTCCAACATTTTTCTGTGTGTAGGACCTCGCATTGATAGATAGGAGGATCTCTCAGCAGTCTGGGTGACAGAGTCCCAGAAGCACTGATGCACGATTATCATACGTTATCATGCACGTGGGCTGACTGAACAGGTGTGCTCCTCCCCAGGTGAACGTGTAGGTCTCTAATGTGCCAATAGCTCATCAGAAAACAGTCACAGGCTCTGAAGTTGGTTCTTCCCCAGTGATGGCAACTGTTGGAGAGATGGAGGCAAGATGAGGTTTTTTTCACTTTTGCATTTTTAACATAGTTGAGCATTAGGTAGTTCCTGTTCTAGAATAAATAGTGTAGATTCCCTGCTATGTGTTTTACAGGCATAATAAGGAGTACTGTGAATCCACAAACATAAACTTGTTGGTGACTTTCTGGCAGTGGTCACTGTTATCAGCTATAGTTGGTGACATTCATGCTGCAAGTTAATGAAATAAAAACAAGCTTCATACCTAAATTAGTTGGAATACAAAGCCCAGCGGAGCTGTGGAGAAAAGAGAATTAAATAAGCCATGCCCCACTTAAACTCCCCAGCATACTATGATTTCTCTCTGAACCTGCCACCTCTAAAAAAATGTTTCTGTTTTTTGCAGAAGTCAAAGGAGCAGGTAATTAGACCAGAACCTGAAGGTTCTTCCCCAAGCCAGGCCTGACCTGATGCTTCCATGGTACTCAGGCAGCTTCCCCTGGGGCAGGACAGGCACAGAGCCTGGGTGACACTGCTCTCTGCTGAGCTCTTGGCTACAAACAGGGCAAATCCTTCTGTCTAGTCACATACAGTGGTGGGGAGGAGGTTATCCCTTCCCACCTGGGGCAGTTTCAAGCTTCACTCATTCCTCCACAGAGGCCTGAGCTGTCTGCAGGGCTTGGCTTTTACTGGTTTTATACTGGGCGAGAGAGTGGCCAACACAGAAATCGTAGCTAATCCATAGAAAGAGCTTGTACTTGCTGGGAGTGTCTTGCATTTTGTGAGAAACTTGGTTTATATTTAAACTCTCACAGTGAACGTGTTTTATTTGACAAATTGGTCAGTTAAGGTCTCCTCAGGTTCTTCCAAGTGCCCTTCTGAGTACTGGAACTTGTGGAGAAGGTCTGAATCTCAGCACAGTCTGATAGAGAGACAGTGTATCATCAGCAGCATGTATACAGGGTACACTGATAATTCTGGTGCCACGTAGAAGGTCAATCTGATTAGAACTCTTTTGCCATATCCTGTGTTTTGTCTTTTTTTCTTGCAACTGATCAAGGGATCTCAGAATTAATTAAATCTCTTGATGTACTTAGACAGCTTCTGGAATAAGTGGTAAGATGTTAGAGATACTGAACTTGTTCATTTGATTTCATCTCTGTAACCTGAGCTCCAATTTAATGCTGTACTTCTACCCTCTTGAAGATTAATTACTGCATGAGTTAGCAAGTCATCTCACCAACTTTCATTTGTGAAGAGTGTAAGTCAGTAGAAATGTAATTCAGGTATTACTCTGGCTTTGTACATGACCAGTGAAAATACAAAGATTCAGCAGTTAAATATATTTAACACTACAACACTCTTTTCTTGAAGCTGACTCTAGGGCCAACTGAAGCAGTTGGTTACAGGTGAAGGAATATGACTATTTAAATTCTGCTTTCAGTTCTCTCAATATAGACAAACTCAGCCACAACTCCCAGTATCAGAGTAGTTTTCGGGGTTTACACTTGTTTTAGTGAAGAGATTTTTTAGATTAATTTTTTTTTAAAACATACCATGGCTTTGTAGAAATACCAGCTTTAACACTGGCAGGAGAGTCGCAGGACTGATTTTAAAGTTGTGGCATGTGACTGTCCTGCTCCTGCTGGCTCTGCAGTGCTGTGGTGAAGCAGGTCTGAGCTCCAGGGTACCAAGGTGTCCTATTCACTCACCTCTGCTCTGGACCCTTCATCTCTCTAAATAAGATGAGGTAAACAGAGAACTCGGTGAGACTCCATGTTTTTATAGCTTTGCCATAAGGACTCTCCAGCAAAAGGGACCAACTGGCATCAGGCTTTTGTCTGTGCCAGAAATAAAATTCTGGTAGCCAAAGACAGAGCAACAACTTGAAAATATAACAAGGTAGAGACATAGGATAGAAAAGCAAAGCAGTGCAGACAGACTCTTCAGTTTAAGAGTGACACATTCAAGAAGCTTTAGGTTGTTGGACTTATTTGAAAAGTTCATGGCCAAAATAATATTAACTCTAATTTCTCGAGCACTCAGAGAAGCATATTTTCCCATCAAAATGAAATTGATTAATCTCTATCCATTTTCAGAACACCATAATAGGTGCAAATCTACCCTCAAACATAGCTGAGGTTTTAGATTGTCTTGGTTAATGCATTTAAGTCCAGCAAGCTCAAGCACTAGCCACACGGAGAAAGATTCAGAAAGATGTTACATGCAAGCCCAGGAAAACCTATGTCTGCATTGCAGCTTCCACAAAGGTCCTTTCCTTACTTCCAAGAGCAGAGGTAGCTTTGTAGACAACTGCTCCTCATAATCTTGACACTTGTCACATTTATATCTCATGGAACAAAAACCCCTCCAAACCTATGGTTCCTGATGTGCAGAAACCCGCCTCAGCCTTAGTGGGCACTTGATTTGCCATGGAAACACTTACCCATCTCTAGATCACTGTAGTTCTGACATTACTGTCAATATTGTCATTGCCTCTTGCAATGCTTTCTAACCTGGTTGTTCTGCTAATGGCACCAACATTCCCACCCTCAGTGTGTGACACACAGTACTTACACAGTCTGTGCACAACACAGACAACAGTTATGCTTTCCAAGAAGGTCTTGTCCCAGGAGGGCCAAAGGTGGCTTCTCAATTTATACCCTTAGGGTTAATGGATTTTTCCAAGGGATTGTTACCCCCAGGATTCAATCTATGCATTATTTCTCCATACAGCTTTAAAAGGATTGCTTACAACACCATTAAGAGCCCATAGCAGTTGCCTCCAGGAATACCATGACTGTTTTCTTAAGGCTCCTTTATGTTCCTTCAGTTATATACCCTAGAAATGCATCCAAGCACAAGCATCACTGTCTGCTTTAGCAGAGCACCAGATTGTCTGTTACATGCAACAAGTCTTGCATTAATTCAGATGTCCATCCCTTATCTTGACATCTGAAAATGGCACTTTCTGGCAGCTTCCCCTTTGGTATTGTCTTTCTTCTAAGGATGATGTATAGTGGCAATTTTGCTTTATCTGCTAAGACCACCAGCAAAGTGACAAGCCTGGGTTTTTTCCATTGGCAGTGTTTTTGATAAGTCATTTGGGCTGCTTTAATGCATGGTAATATGATGTCTAAAAAATCCCAATTTATGTCTAAATTAAAAAGGGAATGTCTGAATTGTAATTGTGCATTTGTAAATATTTGTAAATTTTCTATATTGCTGCAAAATATTTTCATATTTTAATGTTTTATCATATAGTTAAAACAAACTATCCTAGCGTTGTATTACATCTAACATCTTGAGTATTACACCATTTTTACATACCTAAAAATTCATGGTTTGACTGTTGGTTCAGCAAGATCTGTCCTGCAAAGTAATTTTGAATTGTGATGGGAAGCCTGAAAGGACCTCCTACTAAAACTAATGAGAAATTTTTCTTAGAAATTTCCTAATCTGAATAACCCGTTCAAAAATTAATTAGTAGTACAATAATAATTTTTCTTCTTTCTTTAAAACTTTTAGAAAGAAATGGTCATTAATCTACTTAGAAGTTTTCATATTTCTCATACCATAAAACATAAGGCTTCCAAAGCCTCTTCAAAAGGCCTGGAACTGTACCTTAAGGTACTCAGTGGCAATGGTAATCGAGATGTTTCAGAGACAAAGGAGAAAATGACATACATTATAAAATATAAACTATATTATATGCAAGCTAGAGTAAGCAAGCAGTAGAAGGTGTTCACTCTGTTCTCACCTTTGAAGGAGCCAGTGGCTCAGAGCAGCTGCTTTGGCTGCTTTTGTTTGTCACATTGAAGAGGAAGAGCAGGAAAGCAGCAGCTCTCAGAGCTTCTCCTCCCTGGGGTAAGAGGTGGAGGCTAATTAGAAAACCTTGCTAGTAAGTGGCTACACTGGAGTAGCTAAAAAAGATGTCTGTCATTTTTAACTGTCTTAATAATGCACCTTCTTATTTCATCTAACACTTGCCTGTTTTTGTAAATCTGTGCTTTCAAATGAAAAAGAAATCCTATAATGTAAAATCTCATCTAATGTTGAAACAGATACAGTATTTAATACTCCCAGTGCTGATATCCTTAAAACTGGGGTACAAAGCTACTCCCTCAGTATCCAGCATCCTGGTGTATTCCTTCAAAGACTTAAGAAATGAGAAGACTAATAGGTCTTTTCCCCTGAACGATATAGCCCAGTTTATGGGCTGGAAACATGTCAAAAGAAGCTTTTAGCTGCTGTCATCACACATTGTTATGCTATATGATCTCCCTCCTGGTCTGCAGTGTGCCCCTTGAGCTAAGGCAGAGAAGACTATTACAATTCTTTATCTTCCTCAAGAAAAAAAGAGAAAACCACAGTCCAGCACTATGTTCTTGTTCTTCCCCAGCCTGGCAGCTCCTTTGCTTCTTGCTTTGGTGCCAGGTTAACTAATGATACTTGTTCCCTCAGGTTAAGGGGATCCACACAGCTCCATCCAAGGGTCTTCTGACCTTTATTAAAACAACACATTTTTTACAGGGGCCAAAGCAGAACTCATTGTTTGGTCACCATATTAAATTGTTTATGTGTTTTTGTTCATGGTTTCACCTTTCAGGCCCAATACTCCCCAGGGGTTTGCAGAGCTTACCTGAGATTGTTCTGATGTCTTCTTACAGCATCTTTCACTTAAATTTATAACCAGACACTACTTACAGACTTGACTTCTGAAGACCAGTAGCTTCCATCAGCCAGAAAAATGATCTTAATACATTTTTTTGTCTTCTCATTCCAGTAAAGAACTGAAAAAAAATAGTTAAATATCTGAATTTTCTATCTATATTTTTCTGTTTAAGTGTCTCACTTTCTGTCATTTTGTGTCACAAGTTGATAATAATAATAACAATCAGAAGGCATCTGTATTAGGCATCTCCATACCTGTCTTTTTGGAAAGTTCATATTTTGATATGGACCCAAACTTTGCACCCAAGGCCCACAGCTAGGAAATGTGAGCAGGTTTTGGAAAATTAAGCAGTGCCGTGACAACGAGCATCAAATTAGATTGTCCTGGAAACTGTAGCAGCGATGACTTCAGCATGTTTAAAGGTGTGAGGTTCTCAAGCACAGACAAAAGCCAAGGCTGGAGGAAGTCATCCAGCCTAGCTAGAGCTGAGTAAAGGCAGGGTCCCAACCCTGGAGCTGAGATCATTGGGAAAGCTGACTTTCCTAGTGCTGTTACTCCCTTGCCCGCCTCCACATCTGACACAGAGGTGAGGTGACAGCCAAGCCACCTAGCACAGTGAGAGCAGAGGCCAGAGAAAGATGTAGAGGGGACTGCAAAGGCTGTGAACAGCAGAATGATGTGAGCTGGGGGGAGCCCCATCCCACTCCAGCAGACACTCCAGACGCCATTCTAAAAAACTGGAACCACATTACAGGATACACCCTGCAAGTATCTGCACTGTCCAGTCTTTCAGGCAAAGAGCCCGTTTCCCCACGTGTTTTAGGCTCAATTCATCTATATGTGATAGGAAGTGCTTGCCATCAGGACTGCCTAATGCTAGCATGGGAGCACTGGACTCGTGTAGGGGAAGGGCTCCAGGACTCCTCCCTACAAGGCCAGTACTGTCTGGATGGGATGTCTTTAGGTGATTGCAGTTGAGAAACACTTGTATTTTAATAAGGAAAGAACTACACAAGTTGGCACAGTGGGAGTTTTGCCTGAAGTCCGAGAGACTGAAGGTCCTCAGAGTGCAGGGTGTGGTCTGCCCCACAGCCAAAGCTCAGGGGAACTGCTCAGTAGTTAACAGGTACAGTTGGGAAGGCTCTTAGGCACCTTTTTTTGGCAAACAAATACGTCCCCCCACCCCCTCCCACTTAGGCAACACAGCGCATGGCTGTTTTTATTATGTTTCTGTCACTTCACATAGTCTAGCTTTACTTCAATAATAAAAATATAGAAATATAATTAGCATCTTTGTTTCAAGGCACTGAGTTTTTAAATAACCATGTGTGACAACCGTTATGGCAGTGAAATCGTTAAAATCATGTAAATACTTAAACCATGTAGGCCTGGGAGATTATAGTTTCATTAGAGAAAAGGCTATAAAGTTAGACCTAGGTAATTACCTTTCCCATTAATGCTTGAAAATTCTTTGCTCCACTGAGAAGTGATTGTGGTGCATCATGCCTTCTGTGCTTTTACATTCAAACTGCAGGAGCTTTTATTTCATCAGCACAAACTGCAAGGAAACAGCGGCAGCCTTCCAGGTGTACTTTGCAAATTGGGGTTTAAATGTGGAACACATCAAATTAAAATTCAATATTAATTATTTTGTCTTGCTAGGAGCCTGAGTAGTTTAAAGCAGCAAGGGTAATTGTCTAACTCATTGTATGTGTCTACAGCGAACTTAATCATTATGTCAGCTTCCTAATAAAAGGTTATTATAGAAACAAAGATCCCAATTTTACATATGGTAGGCAAGGGAGAATTCGAAGAGCTAGTCTCCAAGGTAGACTTGAGGTTCTTGACAAATGATGCCCATGCTGTGATCAGATACTTAACAAGAAATCTCGTTATTAACTAGGCCTGTACAGATAATTAGCACTTGAGCTTCAAATTTTAAATCTGGCTTGAGATGTATAATTTATCAAAAGCTCTAGCTCACTGTCAAAGTCCTATAATAAGGCAGTGTTATTGATGAATTGAGATTAAGAGCAGATTGAAGAGAAAATTAGGCCACTGGTTAGTCTGAAAGGTCTGATTTCAATATTTGCAGTACTAATTTGGTATTATTTTGGTAAATGGATGTGGTCCCCAAGTGCTACACAGTATAAAAGAATAAACTGTAAGTCATTATTCTAACAAAAAAAGTATTGTTTACCGTATGCTGAATTTTGCAGCACTAGCAGTCTGCTTAATAAGCTTCTTTACAGGATAAGTGTACCTGTTTTTATTGCATTAATTTATTATAACACATAGAGAATGCTGGGTTTTTATTCAGGGTTAGAAAATGTAGCTTCTTTACATCAAAGATTATATTACATTAAACTAAAGATGATCATGTATGCCAATCCCCAGTTTAGCTATTTTATATTTTTGAATTTTCTTTGAAGCATTCTTCCCATCAGAATACAGATAAGTAGCATTTCACATATTCAAGCTACATAAAAAGAGCAATCTTTTTTTAATGATTGCCAGTAGCAATTCATTGCAAGTGGTTCCAAGGAAAAAAATGAAAGAGTGACTGTATGAAATCTATCTACAGTAAACTGCAGCTGCAGAGGTGTTAGATACACATTCATGACCCTTAGCATACTAAATCTTTTTGATACACATAATAAAATGACATTTAGGGCAATATCTGATATCCAGAATTATGTTGGGTAAAACACAATGTTGGGACAAGTTCTGTTTGTTTTTCTCAGGGTTTAATTCCTCGCTGAAGCACATGGATCATATCAAAAAGATGCTGGTTTACTGTATATCCTATCAAATATTTATCAAGTGCAACTGTGTATCATAGCATATATCTTATATATCACATCAGTATCCTCCAACAAAATAATAATGTCAGTGAGTGCCTGTTTCCAGGAAAGTTTGCACCGACAATCCCCTGTAACCCGTTATTGGCAGCAGCTCCTTTCCTCTCAGTTTCCAGCTGTCCAGCGGGGGATGCCAAGTCACAGCAGGACCTGAGGAGTGTTTGTATTCAACTGTGGCACTGAGCTTTATGGAGATTTGCCTTGTATATTGTGCACTTGCAGACAAGCGGGATTTCCAGGACTCAGCGGGGGCTCCCCGGTGTTTATGCTGAGGTGGTTTGCTGGTTGGCAAATTGCTTTGGGCCAGAAACGTGTGACAGAAGAAAATGTATTGCATTAGCTTTTCTATCAATAACATCTTAACACTGACTTATAACACAATTGCTTTCATGCTGATCCAGCCTCCTAATTTTAATTTTAGGACTGATTGAATTTTGCAGTCAGGCATCTTTGGCTATACTGGAAAGAAAAGCCTTTTCTTCCTTACTTAGAAATAATATGCTATTAAAACAAAAGCAACAAAAATATAAACAACTTCTACCTCTCTAATGTGTCTTTGTCTAATACATATTTACACAAGTTTTGAAAATGTTTAATCTTTGATATATACATTACAATAATTTTAAAAAGACTTTAAAAAATTTATTCTTTTAGCTGTTACTCAGCTGTACATACTAGAGTATCATTTTGTAGAACTGCTTGAGTTTTAAATTTGTAAAGGACCCTAAAAAGGAGGGTACTGAATTCTCAGCAGACAGAAATGCTAATATATACTTTTGTGCAGCTTTTCATTCAGTCATTTACATTACCAACTCACGTATTATGGGCTGATCCTGATCTTGTTTATGCTGATCATACTTCTGAAATTTGAGATCAAGAGACTCTCCCAATTGAACTAAGACTTATATCGGTCTAAGATGCAAATCTGAAGATCTTTAGGGATAATTTAAGATGAAAGTGACCAATAAGCTCCAGTTTACTGTTAGTCAGAAAAATAATTTAGGAAGTATTTTATAACTTTAACTTATATTTTCAAGCATACTCAAAGATAAAAAAGACTTAGATATTTCAGAATTTGGGAGAAAAAAGTAGTAAGTATATGCCAAACAGAAACATGGGGCATGTCTCAAGGCTCTGTCAGTTTAGAACCTTGGAACTCCTCAGATAAGGCTGCTTTCTAATAAGTTTAGCTTGGAAGTCCTTTCACATGAAACATTCACACAGCTAGTAAGGGGAGCTGCACAAAAAAAGTAGTGGTAGAATGTATGTTTCTATACTTGATTATAGTCATATAGCAAATCTAATAGCAATATAACACTCTTCGTGAATTGAGGTAGGAAATAACAGCTACCCAGCGATCACTGAGTAAAGAATGGAAACGTTCATAATACGATACCTGGCACTGTACACTGCCTCATTAAAAACAAATGGGTTTTGTACCCAGGTGGTTCATACTGCTGTTCCTGCATCTCCTTTTTAAGTGATTTGGTAGTGCTGATGTAAATGCCATTGGTGTATGAAGAGTAGCACAAAAGAGAACTGGGCTCGAGGATTCCTATCGACATAATTACAAACTGTGACTACTTAGTGCAGTGCGGCACAGGAAAACGGGATTTTACCAAGACCAATTCCTTCAGCTAGCCTAGGCACACTCAATGCTATAGGTATTATTGCCATCCCAGTTACAAAATTGCGGGTCGCTAGAAGAAAAGCAGAATTGTGCCTTTTCTGCGTTACCCCTCAGCTGAGGCACCCGGAGCTGCCTTTAGGAGCTCAGGAGCGGGGCACAGGAGGCAGGGGCCGGCGGGCGCGCACCGGGCGGAGGGGAGCCCGGGTGAGGGGCAGCCCGGCGGGGATGGGGTCCAGCGAGGACGGCACCCGGCGGGGACGGGGTTCAGCGGGGACGGGGTCCAGCGGGGACGGAATCTAGCGCGGATCGCGCCCGGCGGGGATGGCGCCCGGCGGGGATGGCGCCCGCGGTCCCGGCCCGCCCTGGCGCGCGGCCGCCGACAGGGGGCGCGCGCGCACCGCGGAACGGCGGGCGCTGAGGGCCGCGGGGCTGAGGGGCCGCCGGGCCGGGCCGGGGCCCGCCCGCTCCCGCTCCCGCTCCCGCTGCAGCCGCGGCCGGGCCGGCGGTGACGGGCTGGGGGTGCTGGGCAGCTTCAGGTGGCGGCGCTGCGTTCTGTTTATACCGGGCGGAAAGGAGCGCGATGCGGAACTGCCGGGTTTGGGCTTTTTCCGTGAAAAGGGAGAGAGCAGCCGCCCGGGCGGGAGGGCTGGGATGTGGTGCGCACCCAAACTTGGGGAAAATAAAGCCTTCGGGATACAGACCGAGGCAGAACAGCGGCCGGCTGTCCCGAGCGATCCCCGTTGGGTTTGCATGGCCCAAGGAGCCCCGGCGCTCTGCGGCGCCTTAGAGCGGGCAGCAGGAGCCGGAGCAGCCCCGTTCGAACGGGCGAGAGTAAAATAAAGAGCAGTGCCTGCTACTACAGAACTACACATTCACGGAAGGGTTTTAAAACATACGCAGGGTTTGAATTCTCTCTCTTCTCCTCACCCCCTTTATTTTTATAAATTTAATTACTTCGGAGAAAACTGTCCAGGAAACTCACAGCACTTTCCAACTGGAATACAGCTCTATAGCCTGTGACAATGCACAGTGGTTGATGAGTTAGTTCTAGAGGCTTCTGAATTTTAATGATGTTGGAGATGATATTGTGTGTCCTTCAGCTTGTTAGAGTGACACTAGCACTCCATAAATCATAATACCTGTGTATTGTAAAATCAATACAAAAGTGCTATCTCAGCGCTAAACCTTAATAAGTTTTTCAGTGCTCTAGCAGCCTAAACTTTGCTGTAGTGCCATTGGACCTGCGGGTTGGGATCAGAGCATGCTTAATTTGTTTTGTAATAGAGACTTTTCTTTAATGAAGTACCGATTAGTAAAGCTTTGGTTGCCACTCTAGTGATCAGTTGGCAGAACAGCCCTTGCAATTAAACCCGTGTATCTCTGTCCTGAAGCAAAAAAGGAGGCTTAAACAGTCAATAAATGTTAATCCAGTCAGAACCTGTCTGTGCCTTTGAAGGCTGCCCATGAGGGGTTTTTCAAATCACATTTTTTTCATCATTTTAAATATGGAGGTCCCTATAGAGCTGGTACGTAGCGTACAAGGCCTCCCACTGCTCTGTAATAAGATCTGGCATACTAACAGCTTTCTGTACAGATCTGTCATCGTTAGGTTTGTTTGTCCCTCCCCATTCCAGCATAACTATCTGTATAGTTACTGGTTATGAAAAAAAGCAGTTTTCCTTTCTCACACGTGAGAGTAAATAGGCTGCTTCAAAAATCTTTATATAAAACATGTCATTATGGATGCATATGATTTTTATAATTTACTAGTATCTCCCTCAACTTTTTTTCCATTATTATTTGTTTCTTTGTGGGATGATACCCAGGGGAGGAAGTTTACATTTATGTATAAACTGCAAAGCATACACAGGAGGTATGGAACCACCAAACTGTCCTTGAAACAAGCACAAAGAAAAGTTAAACCTTACCTAAATTGTTGTTGCTCTCTAGGATATGCTTCTCATGAAACACTGCCACATACTCATCTAACTGCTTTCCAGTCTTGTCTGCTTGCTTTCTTTTCCTATGAACAGGGTAACAAAAGCAAGCTGATAACTAAAAGAGTGAGAGGTAGTAGGAAGTTGTCAGAGCTGGGGAGGACAACCAATTTTAGAGTAAAACAAGTAGCAATTCCCAGTCTTTCTGTTTGGGGAAACAGTCTTTGCTATGAACTTCATTTTCTTCCATTTCCCAGCGTATTTTTCTATCTACCCCTTTAGCTGCATGCATGATGTACACAGAACATTAACATACATGGGAGAGTGTGTTAAATTTAGCCTAATCATAACTGGCATCTCCCTTATGTTGTTTTGTAGGATTTAGCTTTTGTTCTTTATTGTGAGACTGAGAGCTTCACACAAAAAATGAACAGATTTGTATGAATCATTGGAATGGAAAGAAGAATTTCCTGCTGGAGAGAGAGAGAGAGAGGGAAAAAAAGGGTATCAGTCTCTTTTTACAAAGGACCAAATTCATCACTGGCCCAACATTCTGATTTCTCTGGAAGTCACTGCTCCCTGCCAGCATGACCTGGGAGTGTTTGGAGAACACAGACTGAGAAAGGAAACTTGTAATGGTCCTCTGGACAATGCAACCAGTACAGTACCATCATGCAGGGTTTCAGCAAAGGCAGTTAGTGCCAATACTGTGATGGGATATTCACTGCTCTTTCCTCTCGGAAATGGCTCTCGGAATGATACAAACCACCAAGTTGGCTTTAGTTTAAGGAAGGAAGCCAAGAAAAAAATAGCTAAGTGTAGTACTGTAGACATTATTATTAACTACAGTCATATTATTTACAAATATACACATATAACCTCCATATAAATATTTAAAATCATTTTTAAATGTTAGAATTTTATAAAGATCATGATGAATTTTTCTTTAAATACAGAAATATACATTTGAAAAACTTCCTTCCTGTTTTTTCAACCCCTGTCGTGGTGCAGTGACAGAAGTCAGTGTAACTACCCAGTATATATCAGGTTGGTCAGGTTCAGTCTGAGGTGCACATTTTCTGATAATTGAAAGTCAAAAAGCAATAGGAATTTATTTTTTACTATCATTTCCCTTTTCATTATACCTGATTCCATCTTTAGTTTTGATCGTTTAATTCAAACTAGTTATGGGACAGGTACTTGCCCTGACTTACCTCTTACATCACCTCTGATTTCAGCTCTCTGTATGTTTCTTTCAGCAGCTGGAATTATGCAAGATCTAGCTGGAGTCTTGTCCTCTTTCACCCTCCTGTGTTCTCAGCAGTCACTGGCAGCAGACCTTGGATTCCCATTCAGTTGGGTTGTATGCAATGTTGCAGAAATCATAGAGGAGATTCTTTTAGAAATACAGAAATCAAATCTGCCAGGTAAAAATAGACAGACAGTGCCTTTCAGAAAAAAAAATAGAACAAGCAGAGGGATTCTAAATAGGCAAAGGGTATCTTTAAATATTGGAAATTACTTATTCAGCACATGAAGCTGTAGAGGCCGTACAGTCCTAGGCAATGACAGCACAATTGCATGGATAATGATGGCCTGCAAGTCCTACTGATCCACAAAAGATTATGTTATTATGTTCCTCTACTATAATACATGAATTTTTGCCTGTAAAATGCTTTTTTTTTTTCCTAGTGGGATATGTTAAATAAAGTTCCGACATGTTTTTGACTGCATTTGGCTCATCGTGTAGTTTAGTCAGCACATCCCCAAATTTAAGAAAACAGGACTTAAGCCAGATGGCTGTTGAGTACTCCCAGAAGGGAATCAAGGGGAGCAAACACTTCTTAAGCAAAACTGTACTTGAGATACTTACTTACCTATCATGGATGAAGAAACGCAGCACTTAAAGAGAGACAATGCTCACAATGTCTAATAAGACAGGGAAAAGTGAACATGAGGATGGACAGAGACCGGCTGTGGCTTTGGGGTTGGTCCATTGCTGTGTATAAAATCCCTCTAGGTGTTCTCTGATATGTCTGCTCACCCAGCCCTGCAATCTATTTAAGTATTTACTAACCTTGCCAAAATAACAAAGCTCAGATGAGCAGAACTGATGTTGATTTCTTAGCTTAGGTCAGTGAAACTGGCTTCTGACAATATTGTCACAAAGCTGACTGAATAAGGTCAGTAGAAAGCAGCAGAATTAGGGAGCATACCCTCTTCATTCAACATGTTCTGGAGAACTAGAGGTGTTTGTGTGAAGGTGAGTTTCCTATATAAGCTGGAAATGGGGTAGGGAGGTGAAGGGGGACACTAAGCACTAGGTTTACTCTCCGCTGAGTACTAGTGCTTGTTGAATGAAATCTCCATGGTCACAGCCTGATCATAATCATTTTTGCAAAGGGAGAAAAAAATCATAAAATTTAAACCAGTCCACAAGGTGACAAATGGTGCCTGAAGAAGCACATACATGTCTTCTACATCTGTTTCACGTGCTTTTCCACTTGCACACTCTTAAGTTGCTCACAGGTGTAGGTCAGGTCAGAGTCACACCAGCTATTCTGAATGGGTGCCACTTCAGCAGCTGGAAGGAGTAAAGGAGTAAAAAAGAAATTTGGAGCAATTCTCCTGTGAGCCACAGTGATCTGGGCAGCCTCTCTAATTCTGAGACAACTCAAAGACTCTCCCAGAAATTTAGGAGCCTCTGTCTGTTGTTTCAGTGGACTCCCAGGGTCAACTGTGAGTGGCTGCAGGAGGTGAAACTTTAAGCAGACTACAGCCTTATAAAATTTCAGCAGACACATACTTGAAAGCCTAATGATCAGTTTAGCTTGGCTTAATTGGGTTTATGTGTTCAAGGATATCCTGGCAGCTACTCTGGGAAAAAATTAAAGCTGGAACAAAATTTTGTTGATCTAATGGGGAACCTGAGCCTACCTCTGCACGAGAGGCCATTCTTAGCTGATTCTTTGTAGTTGGGGAGATGGGCTGAGCCCAAATATTTCATGGTTCATCAGTCATAAACTCTTTTTTGTGGGAGTGACAAAGCTCTGTGCTTTTGGGAAGCTGGTGTGTTAGCTCAGTGCTGCTTACTCACTTACCCTCTCTCCCTTTCAAGTCTCATCCACCCATTGCAAAAATGAGTCCATGATGAATAGACTTTTGAATTGGCTTATAATTGGTTATTCCACTCTATAATATTAATTTTCATCTTCAACTGTTCATTGATCGAGGAATACTGGATGTGGATTGTTAGTTTTCTTCGTGACACTTATATTGAAGAATGATTTGGAGAGCATGTTACTGCATATTGATGACATTCTCCATCACTTATGTGTTTTTAGAGTCTTTCTCTTTGCTTCTTTGGAAGAAGCAAATTTAGCTTCCAAGGCTTGGATATGAATTTTATTCTCCTTAACTCTGTGTGTAGCCTCTGTTCCAGCTCCTCAAGGCATCATTATCTATTTTTATTTAACAATCAACTATTATTAACTTTTAAAAATGCTGAAGAAAAAAAACAAACACTAAACTGTATTAAAATTTAAAAACTCCCCTGAAAAAAGAATTAGTCAGCTTTGCTCCTCTTACCAGTCTTTCTGATCTGTTTTCAAATACTTCGACTTCTCTGTCCATGCTGCAGTGTTTCCAGGTGCATGGTAGTGTCCTGACTTCTTGGGCATTCTTATGGACCACAGTGAAGCTGAAAGAGAAGCATTTACAGTCAAGACCATTTATGCTAGTCAGCTCACTGCAAAATGTGTGAATGTAACGAGTTATGTGAACACTTAGGAACTAATAATGCACTGAGATCATCCATAATATGGAAATTCAACAAACAGGAGTTTGCCACCCACAACTGGAAGAGATTACTCCATTTGATCCCTGGGAAAGGCTTTTCACTGCTACATGCAAAGTGCAGAGGAGCACTGATGGCTGCTCCATGTGAGTATTTAGTGGCCTGGACAGTCCTGCAGCTCAGGGGACAGGAATCCTCCCTTTGGCACAGCTGTTCTAAGGGCTTCAGGGACCATGTGCCCTCATGTGAGTTGCTTTCATGGGGAAAATTCTGTCAAAGCTGCTTGGTGGCTTTCATGCAGTCAGTCACACCCTGTGAAATAAGTTCATCGTGTAAGTGCAATAACCTGCTTTCAAACTTCCCTTGATGATTTAATTTCAAACAAAAAAGCATCACAAGACTATACTCTTTGCACCTCAAACTTCTATACTTTTAACAACTTGCTGTAAGACCCTGCCAAGTAATGTAACTTTTTTATTTTAAAATTTGTTTATTTTCTCATTGTCTTCCAAGAAATGGCAAAATTAATTTTAATTAAAATTTGTATTTAGGAAACAATCAACAAACCACACACATAACCACATGCACAGCTTGATTTGCTGCTGGGGTGAACCGTGGTATGCCAAGCTTCAGCCTGAAGCTAATTTTTTACAGCCAAGTTATAAAGCCCTGAAAAGGGGGTTTTATTGTGGAAATGCTGACAGAACCATAGTGGTGCTACTGGCTGCCTCTCTAATTAGTTTAAAGAATGGAAAGTTGTATTTTGCAATATGTGGTAAGCCCTCTTTCCCTGATGTTGCTGGTTTACGCCAAAACTACAGGATTAATTTGATGTTATTACAAGACTGAGAAGATGAGTTTTTTGCTGTTGTTGAGAGGTACTTTCAGGCAGCAAACTGGGTTTATACTTTCAATTATATAAATATTAAACGGTGCAATTTTGATTTGGTTTTGGTGACAGTAGCAGATCCCTGCTGTGTTCGCTCTACTTTGAAGAAGATGTGGAGTCCACATGGTGTTTCTTGCATGTTTTCCAGAGACTACTTTTAAATTCCTTCAATAAAAGTTACTTTTATTCCTGCTTAAGTGTTTTGTGCTAATGTTTACAGACAAACATCCTGCCAGCAGACTAAAGTAAATAAAAGACAGGACACCAGTAACATAAAACACATCATTTTACTACTGTTTTCCCACCACCTGCACTCCATCTTCGCCAGAGCTCCCGATTTATAATTACGCCTACCTGCTCTGGCTTCCACTGGTTTCAACTTTTGCAGAGTACAGGGAAGGTGGCAGAAGCCATTTACCCTGCCACTTTCATTGTCTACTGCAGGGTTGCTGTAGTACCAATGGAGTCAAGCAACTTCAGCAATAAGTAGTTATTTTTTAACTAAGATTCTGTGGCTGTGCATCCTATTGCAGTGCTTACCAGCTCCTGCCAACAAGCCCACACCATGTACACCAGCTACCCATGACCAGTAAAACAGGAGCATTCCTTCCTCCAAAGGTAGGGCAAACATAAGGGAAATTAATAGCTGCAATTATAAGATTACACAGTCTCATGACATACCAAGCATGTCTTAAAAACATGCATAATTACACAAAAATGAGTGGACCCACTGATTTAAATGAGACAACTATGTGATTAAGTGCTGTGTTATACTTTCATTTTCCTAATTTGTTTGCTTGGGTTTTTTTTTTTCTCCTAATACAGTACCCATGGTGTCTGAAAAACGTTACTCACAGTTGCTATGTAATTGCTGTTCCTGCTATTGTTAGTGTGCTGGGGCTGGGCACAGACCTATGCATCCAGGGAGGGCTGTAGTGAGGGTCTAAAAATGCATGTGTATTTGTTTAAAAAATATTGCTATTCCTTCAAGGGCCTACAAATCCTCATTAGTTATTATACTGTCAGGAAAAAGTGTTATATTTACACCTGAAAACAAGACATTGCAATCCCTCTCTCCTTTTTGGATAAAACTGTGACTTCCTAACCATGTCTCGTGTTGTAGTCAACATTATGCCATTTGGCACTACAAGGATTAATTGAGAGACAATAAGAAATTAATCTATTGTCTTTCTTCCAGTCCTTGCTTTCTACTCTCATCTATTTGCAAGGAGTGCCTATTTCTGGTACTTGACAGTACCTGCAAAGGCTTTGACACTGAATTTAGTGTGTCTGCTGAGATTACACTAAAGGGAACAGTGGATTATTTTATAAGTACTAATCCTTAATGCAGAAATTTGTGCTTGTTCAGCAAAGCAAGGTCTCCATTTCCTTTCTTCTTTGTATTTTATTTGCTGCCACCTAGGTGGGAGGCAGCCTCTCAGGAATGACCCGATGGGCTGGTGCATCACAATTTGACTCAACCAGATCTGACCCAAGAAGCAGTGCTCAGAATTAGATCACAGTCTCTGCATGCATTAAGATCTACAACCTACAGTAGCTCTGTTAGTCTGCTGAGCAACCAGAGTGGCTCTGATTGAAATTACCATTTTGATGCTCTGACCTTCAAATCTCTTAATAAAGCAGAAAACGACTTGTCCGCTTGTCCTTCTGGCTCTGGGGAGGCAGAGTGGCACCAGCTGAGTGAGCCAATACAAGATTTAACTTAATGCATGCTCCCAACTACAGCACCAAGGCAAGAAGGGAAAAACAATAGAAGAGGCTGATCCTCATTTACAGCAGGGGCTGCTCCCACTGTCACACACAGGAGGTCGACAGGGGTCCTGCCAGTGCTTTGCTAAATGGGCAGTAACAAACACCTCCTGCTCCAGCACCTGGGTACATTTTAAAACCCACCACCAATCTCACACTGCAACATTCACTCCAAATACTTTGTACTTACATAACCATGTACAGATGTCTGGCCACTCTGGAACTATGAGCTGCTCTTGAGAGGAGAAGGAATGGAAATAGGGTGTTTCTGCAAAGTGGTGATTGTAGCAAAGGAGAATAATTTCTAATCTGAAGATCACATATAAGGTGCACAGAATCAGTGATACCCACTTCTATGGTAGTTGTACCCCATGGAGCCTGGAGGAAAAGACAACCTCATATCTGAAAAAGAAGCTTTTCCTTTAAGTGCCATGTCACCATTTGACGTTAAATAGTAGGTAAAAGCTAGTAGTCTGGTATAAGCAAGAGAGGATCCAGTGAAATAAACCAGAGTATTTTATATCTGCATTGATAGCATTTCCAGAATAAATACAGGAAAATACCAAGACAACAGCTCTCAAGGACAGTAGATTGCAAGATTCTTTTTCAGCCAAGAGATATAAAAATAATTATGTCATATTCAATGCAGAAATCACTGAAACAAGCTACACCCATTTCCCTGCCAGATGTGCCCACAAAAATAAATAACCTTCCTGCATGAAACTACTAATCCTAAAATTCAAAGAAAAAGGAGTAAAACAATTTACCAAGGTCTATTGTAAAAAAAAAAATAAATTGCAGAAATAGTAAAAGCAAATTGAGAAGACTAGTAAAAATAAAGATGAAATGCATAGATAGATATGTGAGAAAAGATTTTATGTTGCATTATCCATGAAGCTGATAACTGCATCTTATTTATTAAACATTGTCATTATTAAAACCAAAATATATTGATGTTTTTCATGAGAATCTACAAGTACTTTTATTGCTTTGTAAAATACTATTGAATTTTACTCTATAAATCTAATCTGTGTATAGATTTTAAGGGTGTTCACTTACGCATACTTACCAGCATGCATAATTAATTTTGAAATGTACCTTTTTGTTTTCTTTTAGTAAAATCCAAATCTCATATATTGCAGCTGACCTAGCTTTTTAATATGAAAATCTGTAAATTGCAACTTAGTATATCTAAATAACTTTGGTCTGGAAATTTTGTAGTAGAATTTGATTTTATATTTTCAGTAATTCCTGATCTCAGCCTTGGGGAAATATGCTATGTGCACCTTTCTAATGCTATTTACTCTTTCAGATGAAAATAGTAAGAATAATAATTAGTATTTTTACCACTAACTCTAAACCTAGATGAAATCCAGGGAGCTGGGAATACCAGAGTGGTTATTAGAAAAGGTGTGTCATCCACAAAGAGTTTGGGTGATCAAAGATGTACAAGATTCACCCAAACACAAATGGGATTTCGGAGCTGCACATGGCTGTGCGTGGGGGCCAGCAGAGCATGGGAGCAGGCTGGACTCAATGGTGTTCTCATTTCTGAATGAAGCAGATGAGATGCAGACTTCCCATCCCTCTGCCAGCTTCCTGCTATCCTTATGTGGCCCTGTTTGTCCCTGTGCCACCACCCGCTCGTGACCCTGTGTCCAACCTCAAAAGATTCTCCTTACTCACACTGGGGCCTCATGCAGACAGAAGAGACCATGGCAGCCTGTAGCCTCTTCTCCAGTTCTCTGTTGTTCCATCACCTTCACAGAACTCTGTGTCAGATCCCTTCAGGGTAGTGAACCAGTTCCCTGCAGGGGAAGAGCCAAGAATTGGTGCTGGCTGCCCCACACACTTCTTCTCAGTACAAGGTCAAAATTTTACACGAGTGAGCCTCCTAATGCACTATACATAGAAATATTTAGAATTGCTTTCTAGGCAGGTCTCACCAGTAATGTGTATTAAACCACAACTGCATAGTAGCTCAGAACTCAGCTCGTTTTCTGTAATTGGACTGTATATTGTCTGGTGTAGTGGTACCTACAACCTGAATCTCCGAGTTTAGCCTTCCCCTATCATTTATACCTCTGCAAAAGAATTACTAAATGGATCTAGAAGATGCCATTCTAATCCAATAGGCTTTTACCTCCATTTTACATCCTTGCTCCACAAGCATAAGACACAATTTTAGGGAGGCAGGTTTATATGGAATAGACATTAAGTGCTACTCAACACTGCTTCTACTGAGCACTATGATAACTGTTCTGCATTCTTTGTTAATCAACAGGCAAAGAACAACAGGCAAAATACGCTTCAATAAGCAGGAAATTCATTACCCCAAAAATGAATAGGAAGAAGAAAATACTTAGAACTATGCTTTCCTTCTGTTCCTTTTGAAAGATTTTAATGACATTGCAAATGTCTAAAACATTTATGAAAAACACGTGAAGCTATAATCTGTATCCTTTTCTTTTAGGGCTCTTTAACAGACCTTCGGAGAAGTCCCAGAGATGTTAGCCAACACATTAAGGGTAATGAATCTTGGCATGAAAGAACAGCACAGCAGCAGCTACATGTGAAGCAGCCTATACCATAAATTATCTCAAATACAAACCAAATTCCCCTTGTTTATCATGTATATAAAGCACCAGCATTCAAGATTCCCTCCAGAAGTGCTGGACTGTGTGTAATATTACTCATAGCATAACAAGGTCTAGTTCTGTCATTGCAATTGCTTCTTTCCACAGATGATAAACTACAGACATGAAGCAATAGGAAGGCTATCCAGATAAATAAAAATATCAACAGGTTTAACAAAAGGTCTGGGTCAACTGTGTGATGAGGTGAATAAATGTCACTGCAGATGTCTTTGAAGTATTTAATTAAGTCACCATTGCTGACAGAAGTTCTTTGCTAGTGTAGCACAGTGCAGCCCTGTGGACCTCAATACTGAGAATGGACTGATTAGATAGAAGTAACTCAGAATATAGGAGAAAATGTGCAAAACTCAGCATTCTGCATGGAAATACCTCTATATCACAAGCAATGCCCCTTAGTGCCAATATTTACCTGCTTCTGCTACTGCTGAGAAGGAATCCCCACTTGTGTCTGGGACATTGCTAAATCTATGAAAATAGCCCATTTTAGCACAGCCCAACCTGCTTCAGCTATGCAGACATCATCCCACCAAAGGTCTAAGGGATGATCAAATCTTCAGAAACCAGAACACAAGTCTGGAAGCCATAAAGGATTAGAAGCAGAGAGGTTGCTGAACAAGGAGCTCTTGCCTTGGATCCCACAGGCACGTACTTTTAGGCAGGAAGGCAATGCTGATATGATGCTCTGCCAGAAGTTTAGCTGTGGTTCGTGAATGTACTTATTTAGAAATGCAGTGGAAACCCCGTCCTGTGCATGTTGCATTAGCACATCAAATAATGTGCTTTGGTGGGTCTTTCTGATTGTATTTCAGCAGTCCAGGTTCCCCTGCATTTTTAAACAGCATAACTGGCAAACTGTAGGTGAAGTGATTTCCCCTAAATACCTGAGGTACAAGGTTATGCAGGTGCAATCAAAATTGGATGCTCTTCCCAAGGAATGAGGTAAAACCAATGTTGTTTGAAAAATGCATGACCCTGTAATTACATTTCCTGTGCTGAGGTTATCAGAGTTTTACGTTTAGGATGCACATTACACTTTCACTGACTGAAAAGTCAGTCAGAGAGTCTGGATGTGAAACTGAACACCAAGGTAGACGGCCCTTCTCAAAGTCAGTTCTACAGCACAAGGAAAATGGGAGCATTTAGCTATCAGATTGCTTGAGAGAGAAGACTGTAATTAATTGAAAGTCCTTGGAGGTTTGCAATGTTGGAAACAATTCCCAGAGAGGAAGGTATCAGTACATAGTCACAAAAAAGCTGCTGACAGGTATGGGCTGTATATCAAAGATTTCTGCAATATTTATCTGGCATTAGTATCACATAGTGTGAGAATTTGTGTTTTTCCTACAAGCAAATACAGTAAACACTTATTGTGTATATTTATATGTACAGAATATCCATCTAGTATCTATCACCTGTTTACACACACACATAAATGACATCCTGTTATAACTTAATTACAGTCAAATTGGAGCATCTGCAACATCTTTTTTGCTATTATATATTTCTTGAAAAGAATTCTTTTGTATCATTGCCACCCCTTAAAAATTAGCTCACAGAATTACAATGTATGAAGCAGATGCAGCCAATAAGAACATAAAATTTTTAAGTGTTTCCACAAGACTCATGCTACTTGGGAATTTGTTATCTCTTGTAGCTGAAATATTCTGTTAGAATTTCTGTATAAGCCATGTTCGTTTTCTGTGGCAGGTTTTGTACATAACAGCAAGTTTCTTTTTAGTTCAGGGCAAAAAGTCATCTTTGGAGCAGTTGCCCCAGCAGGAGGATAAAAGATGATGGTTGGTAATTACATCAGGTTTGCACTGTTGAGCAGATGTTCTTGCAGATAGATTTTGGCTGGCATTTAAAGAACATCACTAGTGAATCTCATGATAGCATTGGAGGAAAGCTGCCACAAGTAGATGGAGCTGCCTGCTTCTAATAAAAAGATTTTGAAAAGAAGAAATAAATTAAAGTAAGAAAGAAGTGAAAAGTGTACAAGATAGACTACCTGACAAACTGGTTTTTGTGTTTTTCTAAAGATTTAGACTTAACACTAAGTTACCTGAGTGTGGCCCAGCCAGTTAGACCTTGTCTTAATAAGTTACACATGGTACCAGTTCTCAATATCCAGAAGGGTCACAATACTCTGCATAGGTCCAACTTTAGAGAAATGGAGGCAGGTTCAGGGCTGGGGGACATGGGAGCAGCAATGTAATAGAAAGCTAAGAATACTCCTTACCTGCCTAAGACTGACAGCAGTTTGAAGAAAACTGGACAGCAACCAAAAAGTCAACATAAAAGTTGTTAGAAAGAGAACTCAGTGAACTTCCATGTCTGAGTTTATAGTGATAGAAGCAATATAGTGGGAAAAAGGATTCTACTTACATCTTTGGAGGCAATTCCAAATGCTTAAAAATATTAACTAGTTATAACATAACATTATTCACCAGTGGGATGGAGAAGCATTATTTCCTTCACTGTATATTTGGAAAATGAGCTGCTTAAGCCCACATAGCAACTTGGCTGCAAAAACATAATTGAGGTTCAAAAATGTCCTACTCTCAACCCTGTGCTCAGTCTGTAGATATGTTTCTGAACAGGTCCTTTTTTAGGTGTTAAGCGCAATATAAAAGGCAGGATGGTGAAAATACATCACAGTCTGGGAAATTCTCAGTATTTCTG